AACGACCAAATAAATCTGGACATTCCTCATATAACATCTTATTTAATTGCAAACATCTGTAATTTTTGGCATTTCAATTAACCTTTTTTTAATTTGCTGTTAAGATCTGCCCTTTGGCACTCATGAGATAGCTTAACTATTTGTTCAGAAGATAATTAGCATCCCATAGCATGTCTCCAAAGGACATTGTTCTTCAGAAAACTGCTTTGATGGTGCTATATATAATGCAAGTCTTTTGAGGAATGGCAACTCCAGAGGCAGTGTGAGTGTCGCAGACCCCAATAGCTTAGAAAGGGACCTGCGTTTTGAAGGACTAGAAAGATCACTTTCTGTGTTTAATGTTTTACGTTCTCAAGTGGTGAAGAGAATACATTTTCCTAAAAAAGAGGTGTAGTAAAAAAACTGATTAGACCTATAAATGTATGCAATTAGAACATTTTATATTTGGCAAAGTAATTGAATTCATATATTAATTATGTAAGAGTGGAAAATATATTTGTTATTTATTCGTAATATGCCTTAATATTAAAGACTGGTTATGCTGGGTCAGAGAATTTCAGGATTTCTTTTTTATAATAGAATAGCACTAGAGGGGACTGCACAGATCTTTAAAAATATGCAGCCAGTTTTATGTGTAGCTACATCAGAGCCATGTAATTGGATATTAATATAACTGCAGTCTTCAGTGTGAGAGTATAGCTGAATCTGGATTAGATTTTATTCCTTCTTTTCTGCAGGGCCTTTAGAAGCAAAACAACGCAACCTCCATTTTTAAACTTTGGGAAAATGACTTGTAACGTGATATCAATTGTGGACATCTTTATCCAATGATTAAGTTGGTTTTTCATTCCTTTATGGAAAGGGCGAGTAAAGAAAAATGTTGAAGTTGAAAGTGTAATTCTAGCATTTTATCAAATGTTTTAAGATGTCTTCATTTAGTTCAAATGCATATCTGAAAAATAGGAATGAAGAATACAATTTTCAGGATGCTGAAGTTCCTGAAAAATAGAGTTTCTGATGCTGCTGGTTTATGTCAAAGTGTTGCTTTGAAATGATGAACGTGCTCCTGATGATTGTGTTCCAGGTGTGTGTGTGTCTCTAACTCTGAAAGTAAGTGACCAAGTAGTGATGCGTACTGTCTTCAGAATCATCTCAGATATAGTTGTTTAGTTTATTTTTAGCAAAAATAAAGTGCTCCTTAACTCTATCCCAACTGCTGCTCCATTTTCAAGGAGCACACAAGGAAGTGAAAAAGTAGTAATGCTGGCTTGTAAATGCAGCTATGGGATTTTATCCCACCTGCCACAAGGAATTGGCAAGAATTCCACTGGATGTGAAACAGAGAGCAGGAAAAACTGCAAAAGATGACACACCAGATAAAATGTTCCACCTGAGAACTTCCTGGAGTCTGTTTCTGGCTGTCCCATTCAACCGTTGTGTTTAGCCTGACTCACTGAGGCTGCTCCTGCATACAATAGAGCTGATCTTACTGCATCATCATTAAGCAAAAGCATGCTGCTTAGTAAAAGTGCAGGAGTATTTGCGTCTCTCCCTTTAGCTCTCTTTTCATGCTAATCTATGCATTTGGCAGGCAATTACAGAGACTGAGCAAAGGAACATCCCGAGTAGCTGTGTGTCTCTGTCCATGCTGCTCCGTCTTATGGTTTTCCTGTTCTCCCTGTGTTTTGGTACAGAGCAGGGGTCAGTATATAAACAGAAATGAAAGTGGCCTATTTAGATCATAGCTTGTTGAAAATTACCACGCAGTCAGTTCTTTGTGGCAGGGACTTCTCTCTTACCTTCTTGTCTCTGAAGTCTCCATGTGCTTGGTGTGAAAGCTGTAACATTTTTCTGTGGGTAAGAAAGCTGGTGATTTTGCTTCCACTCCTTATGGATAAAGAAGCCAATAAAGATTTTAAAAGGAAAACTCAAATTTGACAAAAATCAGTGCATGCTATTTGCACACTGTAATAGAGCTGTTACTGTAACTTTTCCTGTGTAATTGAGCATCTTGTATGATTTAATCAACATTATTATGCTTCTGACTATACTAAACATTCATCTTTTGTGCTGTAGGTTGCTCAGAGACTTATGTGAGGTGGATACACTTTTCATCCAGCTTTCATGTTTTCAATTCCCTTAGGGCTTGATTGGTCTGAAGACAGTGGAGAAGAGTTGGAGGATTCAGAGCAAACCTCCCCTTACCAGGTTGCATGGTCTATCCGAGAAACCCTCGGCTATGAGAGACATGAGTGAGTACGATTCTGTATTCGTGCTGGCCTTGATGGAATAAATCATGTAAATGTGAGCTTCACTTCAAGTGGAGTCAGTGGAACCTGAGCACTTATTTGAGTTCTTTGAGGAAACAAAGGATTGTTTGAACTCATTTGTTTGTAAGAGCTATGAAACAGCTTGTCACGTTCTGTCCCAGTTTCCACCTAAATTAGAGACCTTTGCGCAGTCTGCTATCAGAAGGATGCATCAGGAAAGAATTTAAGCTTATTTGCTTAAATTTAATTGAGTTTAGTGGGATTTATTCATGGACTTGTGTGCCTTGCTGAGTAAAGGTATTTCCTGAATTAAAACCAAATTAAGGGAGTTTGCTGCTGTTTTCTTGTTTTTCCTACTATTTGTGAATAACTTTGTTAGTAAACTTGCTGCATTTTACTCATTAATCCTTAAGGTAGTTGTGCAGGATGTTGTTTTAATGTGTTTTTTTTTAAGGGCATGGCATTTCTTTTCATTCAGCATAATTAAATGTTGAATAAACCTCTGTCAAATAGTTTGGAGGATTGAAAGCAAGCAATGTGATTGAAGGGATAAGCAGAGCAGCTATTAGCTGCTGGTACAGAAAGGCTTACGGTGTTCTTCATATACTGCTAAGCCATGAATCTGAACTTACAGCAGGATATGATTATGTCTATTAATGTAAATTTTAAGGTGTGAAGTTAAAGCGAAGCATCCCAAGCATAGTATTGTAACGAAATGGAAGCATGTTGATAACAACTTTGAGAGCCCAATTTCCTTTTTAATTGTAGCTGCTATATAGTTATTCTCTTTAACTATGCAACTGGCCTTTTTGGTACTACAACATTTTGTTTAATTTTTAAGTGTCACAGAGTAATGGTGTTCATGAAAGGTTATTTTGTGGTTACATGGAAATTCTGAAGCTTACCAAAGTTTCTTACCATCTCTAAAGATTGTCCACAAGGTGAAAAACAAAGCTGTATCTCTGTCATCAGGACAGACAGCAGGACTAAGTACTGAGAGCCTTCAGTGAATCAAAGCTTAATAGCAGTGTGTAGACTTTAGTTTTTTTAAAAGAAAGAGGGGGGGTTTCTGTTATGAATGACTTTTTTTTTTTTTTTTTTTTTTTTTAGGGCATCAGCAGTCAGAGAGAGTGAGCTTTCACAAACATTAGTTTTAACTTAAATGACAACTTTCAAGTAAACTGTTTTGGGAAACAGTGAACAGACTTTCAGACTTTTAAATAACAGATAATTTTCAAAGCAGATATATCTGTTAAATAACTTCCCTTACACTCTTCACTCTTTGACATTTGATCTGGTTCTTTCATAGATCCCTGTTTTTTTGTCAACTTACAAAGGTCATCTCTGTGTGCTTTGTCTTCTATGTGTCTTAACTTCCTTTGGATTCTTCCTACTCTTTGTACACACTGAGAGAAAAATAATACCTTGACATTTTCTGTTCCATTCTAGCATTTTATGCACTTCAATTAAACACTGTCTGAACTAAATCATGATGGATAAATTTTTACATGGTACTGGATGCTTTTGTACTTCCATCAGCCTGCCCAGTGTTAGCTCTTCAACAACTTTCCTAATCTTGTTTATGGATAAACATTGATACATTCACTTGATGTCAGCCTTCTAAAACTTTGCAAGTTTCTGTAGAGGTTTTTATTACCTGAAATGTTTCATGTTGACACTTTTGCAATGTGGTGTCTCTGCTGCTGAAGATGAAGTAGTTCAGACTATTTCTTGGGTGATTTGATTTGTCAAAATGACTCTATCTTGCTAATCTGGCAGTGCACACTGGTGGCTCCTAACTTAGTCAGCCAATGACTTGATATGACTGAATTTTGGAGGCTGATCTTACTGGGAAACCAATGGAGATTGTTTCCCAAAACCTTTAGATTCTGAAATCACATACCTAAACCTATGGGAATTTACTTACTATTTTTCATAGTAAAATTAAAGCTGTGTTTTCTCTGTTTATTTGTGTCTGAGCTCGCTGTCCCTGTGCGAGAGGGATAACTCTCCACCAGCTAACTCCATTCGATCCTTTTCCATTTGACACTGGAAGACAGTGGGGGAGATGCGTCTCAGAACAAATTAGTAAAAGGAGGTAGACGGTTAATTCTGCACTACTGGACAGCTTGTTCTCAGTATTTCTGGTTGAGTGATTATGGGGGGAATCCTCTTTCTGTTGAACTTGTGCAATACTACAGCTGCTCTTAAACTCTCAAAAATTCACCAGATTGGTTTAAAATTAATTTTTTAACAGGAATAGATTTTTGAGTTCACTTGCCTTCTGGCCTTTTAATCTGTAAAATTCGTATTGCAATCATCTGTGGAAACAGAGGCCACGTGTTTGCTTTTATTATTCTGGCCTTTAATTTTGAAAAATCGTGTTCCTGTGGTCACAGGATTCCAGGATGCAGCACTTCGAGGCAGGCACAAATGTTTGAGTTCAAATAGTAGTGCAGGAGTTGGCACTGGGCTCCTTGCAGGGGCAGCAATTTGGAGGGAAAGCAGCAGCTGTTCCCTGCCGCAGACTAGTGAAGATTCCCCGCAGGTGATTCGATTACTGGGTCTTGTAGCTTAGAAAGTACTGGAAAACAAACAACTTAAACCAAAGTAGTTTTTCACTTGCTGAAATATAGATAAAGTGAGCATTTCAAGTAATGAGTTTGAAAAGGGAGTATGAGGATTGGTGTCCCTCCTCATACCAGCTCATTCAAAGGAGCAAATATCAACACTGTGTTGTCAAAGTTGGATTTAATAACTCCCGATAACTAGAAGTAAAAGGAAGAAGGGAAGGTTCTTCAAATCCCTTCTTACAGAGGGTTTTGAAGTACAGAGTTGCTGGGGTGTCTCAGAGTAGAGAGCATATTCTCCTGGTTCCCTGATGGTGCCTGACTGCTCACACTACCCTTTTGCTCTTCCTTTCTGCTGCTTTGTGCTGCCTTTGTTTTCTTATGAACACTCACCAATAATTCCCCTGATCTTTACACATGGCAATCTTGAAGGGAAGGGTTGGGAAGAAGCATTTTGGATTATCAAAAGGTTTGCCTGCACTTTCAGAAATCTTCTAAGAAATGAAATGCCACACATTAAGTTGAACTTCAGAAGTTATATACGCAGCTTAAGCGAATAAACTAAATAGAAGTTGGTAACCTTGTTTATGAAAGGACAACAATAAAAGTACCTTTCTGTTTCAGTACTTGCCTAGCAAAAAAAAAAAAAAAAAAAAGCAGGTGTTATTGTGATATTTTTAGGTTTCTTTGAACATATACATATATTTTGGTTAATCTTACTGGCCTGGAAATAAAATTCTGAATAGGCTTTTAGAAACTGTTTGCCTCAAAATAAGCCCTTGTCCACTGCAGGCGTGATTTCTTTCTACTTCTTATATATATGTCTTTATCTACATTTTAAAAATGATCTCATAAAATGCAGTACAGAATGTTTTAATGTACAATTATTTTTTTTTCTGTATATTTCAATGGGAGGGAAGTAAAAAGTCTCGAATACAGAGACATGTCTTAAAAACCACAGTTTTCACCCAAAAGAAACTTTTTTCCCTAAGGAATATTCGTGTGGTGTCTTAAAGTTAATCTGTAACAAGTTGAAATTACATCAGTATGTCTGTAACTTTGTTTGAAAGTCTTGGCCGAGAGCAGTGATGAAATGTCTTAAGACCTTAAACCTACCTATATCTAACTGATCCCATCTGCATACTGCTGTTTTCTATGAATACATTGGAAAAGGAAAATCTATAATAGCACACAATAAATTTTTCTAAACAGATTGTTTTTCCCAGTAAGCATTCTTTCCTAAGAGATCTTAAAAGTATATTTTAATTTTCAATGTGAAAATATTTTAAACATTACATGTGTTAAATATTTTTAACAGATTGTATTTGCTGCTTGGCATTTAATTGCAGAGTTAATTACTTGTAATTTATGCTTCTAGAAAATAATCTGTAATCTGTTTTAACAAACAAAATATATAGTATGGTTCACTTTACGTAAAACTTTATTAAAATGTGCATTTTCGTCAAGGCAGTGTTTGCTCCTGTGGAGTTTTTGTGGGCAGCCTTAGTGGAGATGGATGCAGTCTCTTAAATTTGGACTCTTTGAATGGAATAAGAGTTTCCAGAAAGGGAAGTAGGTCTTAGTCATATTGCCTTTCAGGGACAGCTATTCTGCCTGCATTTCTGGATCTCACTTTATTTAGTAAATATCGTGGCTGGTATTTCACATCTCTTCTTCATTAGCTAGTTGTGGTCTGCTTTGCTGGGCACAGATTTGTATGTCAGCTCATTCAATCTCATTGACCAGGCTCTGAACCTTAGGAGCTTTGGACTTGCTTCATTTGTTTGGACTTGTTTTCTTCTCCCTTGCCCTTCCTTTGTTTTACAGATAGGAAAGTTAGCAAAAAGTTTCTGTGTTCTATAAGGGAAAAACTTAAAGGAAAAACTGAACAAGTCTGCTTTGCTTAGATTCAGTGCACGATCTTTATTTGTCCATGAACAAAAAAATCATTCTGCAAACTAGTGCTTATGTGGAGGACTTCTGGGTAGCTTCATGGACCTTGTTGGTTTAACAAGTGGCAGTGATGATTTTATTATGCTTCGTGATTTTTATTTCATTTAACTGAATGTGTTGACATGGTTTGATGGTCTTGTTGGTATGTGCCTGGATGTTCAGAAAGCCAAGATAAATGGGAAGAGGCTTTCTTAAGCAAACAAAGAATTGGATCAGTCCTTCATCTAGTCATTGTTTAACCCTGGTCTGATTGTTCCCTCAGTACCTTTGGTATTAAATGTGAATTTCTTCTCTATGGCTGTACTGTAACCCAACTTTAGCTCTGCAGCAGGGGGAAAGCAGTATTAACTGCTAGCTGTGCTAGTGTGTATTTTGGTTTAGAAAGGAATATACCACCTGGCAGAGTAAAAGGAATTGGAAAAAGTCAGTAGTTTTGGTACTTGTTAGAATTCGACTGTCTTCTTCAACATGACCTTTCTTCAATACATTTCCACTACATAGTTCCCCACCCTTATCCTCTCCATTAATTGCACTTTGATTTAAGAGTTTGTCTCATTTTCTGAGACATTTACAGTAAGTAAAGGTTAACAGTATAGATTTTTTTTTTTTTTTGAACAGCAGGCTCCAGACATTTAAATGTGTCAGACTTGATGATAAATTGATGTAATCTCTAATAATGACATACTAAGAAAGGTAAGTACCTTCAGAATTCAAAAGGGATCCTGCTCTTGCCATTTCTCAAGCATCCCTGCCTGATTTCAGCCTTTAGATGTTTGTGGGTCTGGAAGATGGATGCCAGCTTAACTATTCTATTAAAATGACAAATTAGCTTCCTTGAGAAAAAAAAAGTACTTAAAGCCCATTTGTTTTTATTTTCCCTCCTTCAGGTCCGATGATGACAATGTAGATGACAGGAGTTCCAGGGTGACCAGACTTTGCACTTACTTTCAGCAGAAATACAAGCACCTCTGCCGCCTGGAGCGGGCAGAATCTCGTCAGAAGAAATGCCGGCATACACTCCGGAAAGCCTTGCTGCAGGCGGCCAGCAGAGAGCCGGAGCGTGCTGGGCAACTGATACAAGAACTCCGAAGAGCTACGTGTGCTCGTACCAGGTTAGACCTTCCCCTGTGACTGCAGTCTCCGGTCTGGACAGGGTGGAGATGGGCAGAGTATCCAGCAGCTGAAATGCTGAACTCTGAAACTTATAGGCATGCACAAGGCAGGAAAACCATGACACATAAATGCCTGTCAGTGGAGTAAAATAAACATGGCGTACAGTGTTTTCCATGAAGATGGGCATTCTGCAGCTTTGTATTTTAAAATGTGGATTGTTTGTTCAGCAGTATCTGGGCCAGATGTCTTAAATGTCACAAAAGAAGTTAGTGGCCTGCTAAAACTTATTAATTAATCTGTATTTTGGTTCCTTTCAAATATCTGGTACTTTACTAAGCCCAGTTCTTTAGAAGGTGTTCAGTGTGGTCTGTAGTTCACTGCTTCAACTCAGATTTTGTTTTTCAGACATCTTCTTTTGAAAATTCTGTACCTCCTCTTAATTATCTTCCCAGCAAATCAAACTTAAGCACATATTTTTTGTTAGATTTAACTCAATCTAACATTAAATGAAACTTGGCAACAAAATAAATATCTTCTAACAACTCTGAAGGTTACCTTCTGTGGGAGTTCTTTCTAGTTAATGTCAACATCCCTCCAGCTCTTGGCATACTGAGAGTTGGTCGATTCATATTTGTGCAGCAGCAGCAGAGTAAGTCTGAACCCTGGCATTATGTCTGGGGTATCAGCAGCACCCTTTTTGCTGTTGTGGTTTTGCTTT